GGAGTTCACTTTGAATTTTTTTCAACCCAGCCCCATCCCTTAGGTGATGGTGTTACGTTATCTATATCATAAGAACAACCCCAGACTTGACCAGCTTAGTAAGCAGCCCTTAGGATATGTTGATACGGTGCTACAGAAGTCGGAGGTATCAAATGAATTGGTTTGTTTTGAGAACAAAATAATTCTTTTCTTGGGGTGTCAGTGTTGGTTGCAGTGCTAAGTGGATTGTACATCTGAACAGTGAAGCTAGCAAGAACATTGACGACATCCTCCGGAATGGAAGAGAGTGTTGGGCTTGACATCGCTTGAAAAGCTTTGGTTGCCTTATCGCTCTGCGAATTCCATGTTTTCCAGTCAGACTTTTTTCCTTTGTAAGAAAAGTAAGACACCGTCTCACATCCTATAAAAGCATGAAACCCAGGAGGAGCGCTAGCCTTGTCGCCAAGAGCATCTAAAATATGATTTTTTAGGTCAAGTGTGTTATTTGTGTGTGAGAGGCTTACCTGCCATAAGGTGTGCTGCGAAATATCGTCTCTTTGCACCTGTACCAAAAAGAACCCATACATTCTGGAGACCAAGAGATTTAAATTGTGCGTAAAAAGCTATACGTAGTACTAGTACATCACTATCAACTGCTCGCACTAGTACGTTCTGAGACCCATGCTGCACCGCATCCTTTAAATATAATGTTATTCTGCCATCTACTTCATCTTTAGTACTACATTTTACACAATTAAGGGATGAGTTTGCCCTTGGTGATGAGTAAATTATGTCACCTATATTTGATACATATACTATTTTGTTTTCTACTGCTATATTGATACAGATCAATTTTGTTTAATGGTTTTTTTAAGAAATCTGGCCAGTTTGGTGGAAGTCTAGTAAGGCCGGTTACTTGGCGGCGAATTCCGTATCCTCGTTCTACACAGACAGTATTTTTAACGCTATCAATTACATATTGATCCCAAACAATATCAATGCGCAATGCTCCCAATTTTGCGGCATCTTTCAACATAAGATTTAAGCTCCAGTTTAAAATATTCTTGAAATGTTTTGCTATAACGGGGAATGACAAAGTGTACAAGAGCTGCACCATCGTAAACAATACCATCGCATGATTCTGGATCAGTATCGCTTGGTAAAATATTTTTTCTTCGTTTTTTTTCTGTTTGGGGGGGGGCATAAAAGGGGGACGGAAGGGAAAATAACAATTACTTTCTTGGTGCGCTTGTAATACATTTTTTATTTGAACTAAAACTTAAAGCTCGCGCGTAGGTGATAGAGAATTATTTAATCTAATATTAGATTTTTTGTAGATGTCTTTATTTCGTAGAGATTACGTTTTTTTAGTTTGACTTGCATGTAAGGACCACATTCTTTGAGCCCTTAAAACCCAAAAATTTCGTGAAAATGAAGAGTTCAATGCGTGTAAAAGTACCAAATTTCAAGAAAACCAGTATACCAATGTTTTTAAAAATAAACAAGATATATATTATTTTCATTTAACCTTTCGAGGGCTGTAACTTCTTCGGTAAGCATTTTAGGACATACGTTCATAGGAACTTTCTGACACCCTGTCTATAACAGAAACTTGACCAATAAAAGATAGAAATAAAAAGCCAAAACGCAGAAGAAAACTATTTTAAACTAAGAACGAGCTACTATTCTAAACAGAATTGTTCTTTTAGCGCTGTATCTAGCGTTGGAACTTTCTATTCATTATCTGAACGTCGTAAATCGTGGACGTTAACACTGCCCACCCCCGGAAGCTTTATAAATCTCAACCCCTTCTGGTTCTCCCGGCTACTTTGGCTAAGATAAAAACACGGAAGCGTGGACTTACGTTTGAGAATTTACGTGTCGACTTCTCCGAGTTAAAACGTCTTAAGATTAAATGATAAATTGCTTTATGTCTTGACTGTATAAAAAGAAAAAAACAATCGGTTTTAAGTGTTAAAAATATAAATTACTTTTTTACATGAAGCAACGGAGCAGGTTGCTTAAGACACGAGGTGGGGAAACAATACCCCCAAACAGAGTTATAAATATTTTTTAAGCCAGTGTCACAAAAAATGAAGTTTTACGGATCTATTAACGTCTCTAAAGTGTATCTTTTTTGGCCGCTTTTTTTACTTTACGGCCGCTCCTTTACTTTATGGCCACTTTTACAAACAAAGTCATTATAAGAGCAGCCTACTAGGCACATTTAATTTACTTATTTGGGTTATTTCCACGTCCGATATTAAGATTGTCAAATTATAAAAGAGGTATAAGGTATAAGACCTACTAGACACACTTAATTTGCATGTTTGGATTATTTACCCATAAAACAAAAGAAAAGGTTCGATTAAGTGAATTTCATTAAAGAAATAAAATTTAAAATAAATAACTAACAAATAATAAAAACCACATTATACGGGATATACTGTGATAAAAAAAACAGTTAAAAAGAAAATTCCACACCTGTAATTTTTAACCAATCAAAACGTGTTTTTTTGACAAATCACCATGGCAACGGATAAATTTTAGTGAATTTTTTTTCCTTGTGGGCACCCAACAGCGAATTATACTGGAAATCTTTTGACGTTTATAATGACAGAATATCTTTTTGAGAGTCTGGTTTTTATTTGTTTACATGATAATTTTGATACATTTCAATTACAAAGCTGAGATGAAAGTTTGTAAACTGCTTTCATACTCTTGACTTCGATTTCCTAGTATTCGCGGGTGTATCTCCTGGCGAATATTTTCTTTGCTTTCATGACCGAAGCGAAACATTTTTTTAAGCCGTGCCGCTTGACAGCTTCAAAACTGAAATAGTTTTTAGGTTTGGGTGTCACTTAGTTGTCATAGTAACTAAATAATCAGTTCGACCAAAAATCGAAAAATATATTTTAATTATTTGATTTTCAAACACAACTTGATGTGGAATTTTCTTACCGAATACCACACGAGGTCAAATTAAATCCGGACATTTTTTTTTAACTGTACATTTAACATAATAATTAATAGCAAATAATGCCCTAATTTATTAACTTCTTTATAAGCCAACTTACAATAAAGGTGCCCGGTGGCGTAGCCATCATTTGCACCAATCTCAAGGTAGTGGGTTCGAATCCCACACCCGGCATTGCATCAACCGACTATTTTTATTAAAATAAAAATAGTTTGGGTACCTAGGTCGACTCAGCCTTAAATGAGTACTTGGGATTCACAATCCTGAGGCAATAATAGGCGGTTGAAGCGTAGTGCTAGCCACATTACCTTCCCTGTATACCGAACGGTTTTAGTACGGCAAGCTGTACCTTGCTACTCCCAAGGCGTTAAACGCTATACAGACCGGACCACCGTAGTAGTAACATAGGCAGAACCGGACGAATTACCGTATACCCGTCCGCCGGATAAAAAGCAGGCAAAAAATGCGATAAAATAAAAATAGGTAGATATGTGATAAGAATGTTTCATAATTTGTATTTATTCGTGTTTTAATAGCCAAAACGAATACACAGATTCTCGCGACAGTTCTCGTGCAAAATTTATTTTTTAAGTAAAATAATGGATGTTTACGAAGTTCGTGAGAAAATTCAAATTGTAAAATGGTATTTCCAAAATAGGTCTTATCGGGATATACAAACAATTTTTCCACAAACTATTGTAAACAGGGCAATTCTATCTTTACCTACTATATCAAGAGTTATTAAGAATTTTGAAACACATGGGTGCGTGTCCCCACAAAAACACAAGCCTGATGTGTTGATTAATGAAGAACAGGAGTTAAAGCAAGTGTTTAACCGTTTAATTAGTGGATATGGAACTATTTTGTGGCCCGCTAGATCACCAGATCTTTCTCCCAATGATTTCTTTTTGTGGAGTTATGTAAAACCTAAAGTGTATGGTCATAATAGGGCTAATAATTTGGATGAGCTTCAAGTAAAAATACGAAAGGCTTTCCAAACTATTAGCCCTAATATGTTAGCCAATGTCAGACGGGAATTTTACCTAGGCTTTTGTCTAGCACAAGAAGGTGATCTTTTTCAACACTTATAACTTTTTTTATTTAGAGTAATATTTTAGTTCTTTCTGGGTTTAGAGAATTTATTTATTTTTAGTTTTGGCTTGTAAACACACTCAAATAATAAAGATTTAAGTATTTTTATTTTAAATGTTGCCTTAAGTGAAGGTAAACACTTAAAATGAAAATAATAAATACTCGGCACTCCTCGCGTCGTATTCCTAGTCTGTCACGACCGACCCGTCCAAGCACAACTGCAACTGCGTACTGCCTGACTAGCCGACTAGCCGGCAGTGAATTTCGAGTACGAACGCAAATTGGGTAAACGTAAATTCGTCCGGCAACTTGCTATGTTACTAGTAGCCTGGTCTTTTCTGTATACGAGAGCTATTATTATTATTATATAACCCAACTTCTGTTTATAATACTGTAAGACCTATTTCTGTACACATTTTTGTTACTTAATAATACACTTTTCATTTGGTTAATAAAAATTTGAATCTAATTTTCCAGTTTCGTCTTTATTTAGAAACAAAATTGTAAAAAAAATTGTTGCCCACTTCAAAAGACACTTGCTTAAAAAATTTTGTGTGCACCTCGGCCGTATGATTTTTTTTGACCGAATCTGAAATTTGCGGTAAACAAATAACTATTTTAGGGTGGAATAGTGACAATACTTATACATTCTAAAAGAAATTTATGCATCAAAACATATTAGAGCCAATGAAATCGTCGCGCACCTAAAACATATATGTATCGTCACCACGGCGAGCATCGCCGAGAGATAAAATTCTCCACTATGTTTTTACACTAAACAAACCCATCTCTTTGAAAATTACCAGCCACCGTTTAGAGTACTTTACGTCCGTGCGCGAAAGATACCGGACGCAGCCCCGGACAGCCCTAAATGTTCGCCCCGTAAATCCTCCAGCCGGCGCTAACAGGCGAGATCCGCACCCGCCCGCACCTCTTATTTCCTAAATCTTACCCGTCTGCTTCTCGGCCACTTTCAGCGTAAATCCTTCCAGCAGTACCGGTTCGCTGCGTCCCTTGGCGTTGGCCGCGTACACCGCCATTTTCAGCTCCTTGCCCGGGTCCAGGCCGCTCACGATAAATAACGGGAACTTGGCCGAGACGTTGGCCTGCAGCACGCCGCTTTTACGTTCGTAAACCTGCAAAAAAAGGAGAATGTAGAAAGAAGGTTTTAACAGACTTTTAACACGAAAAATATAGACTCGAATGCAAAAAAACACAACGGAGAAATTTTTGGTCAAATTTAAAGGCGAATTCTCACGACTCGTGTACTTGAAAACATTTATTATTGGAATATACTTGCCATGTCGTGAGAACGGTTTCCTTGGTCACTCGTCGCATCCCCAATAGAGTATGTCGTCCCGTTTATTTCCAGATCGTAGTGTTTTTCGAGTTAATTACCGATAATTTAAAACTTTAAAACAATAATAGATTATATAATATCAAATTTACATTAATAACTTCAATTTTGGCGACATATCTAAATCGTTCTCACAGCAATAAATGGAGTGGACAAATGAAGACCTACGCGGGAAAAACCAGATTATATTTCACAGTTTCATAGAAATTAAGATAGCGATACAACTTTACAGACAAATGTTAACGTCATTCGAGAAAAAGAAAGCAATAATACGCTTAGTCCTAGAGATATTACAGCTTGGTTATTTTGCCGTAAAAAGGAAAAACCAGAGTAGTCCACGCGTAAATGGCAAAAACCAGAGATGTACTTACGCATGGGCGACAAGCATGCATCTTGCAATTAGTATTATAAGTTATAAATTTATATATTGTAATAAAAAACCTACCTAAATATTAATTTTCTTCCTACAACAAAAGAATAATAGTTTAGATTTAAGTTTTATACAACCTTTAATTGGACATCCCTGGGTTTCCCCTGTTTTGTTTTGCATTTTGACATTTTGATTTCAGGGCAACGGCCCAGCTACGTCGAAACACCGGTTCCCATTAGAACACCGAAGTTAAGCGACGCAAGGCGATGCTAGTTGATGAACGGGTGACCGGTTCGAAACTTTGCATCGTGCTGTTGTCCAAGGGAAAAGTGTAAAATCTATTGATGCACACTGCTCATTCACGCCGGTTCGAGGCCGGATGAGATCGGATATCTCGTGAGTAAGAGTTAATTTACACACTTCCTAAGTCGGTAGGCCATTGACCATGATATGGCCGAGGACCGCGGTTCGGACTCCGCGTAAACAAAGTAGGTCCCGTCCAGTTTAGCCATTGCAACAGAAAGGACACGTTAACTTGAACCTCACACACATTTTGATTTCGGTATTTCAGAATATGGCGATAATTCACAATATTAATAATTCTGAATTGGTTAGGTCAACCGAAAATAACATATTTCTTTAAAAACACTAAATTGCATTTTTCTCGGCTCCAATTAAAATGGCAAAAACTGGTTTTTCCCGCGTAGTCTTCAAATTATGTTATTTTCGAATTTATGGCTTTATACGAAAATCAGCCCTTCATATGGATGGCCAAACATAAAGAACATAGAAATCGTATTGCAGTGTACAGTAAAAGAACTTAAAAAGAATCACTAGCAATGACAATTTTGGAACGACCGATATCCATCGATGCGACTATACTGTTTACTTGCCAAGGATTTAAACAATGTTTGTGCTGGCGTACTTGTTGAAATGGACACGTCGTGTGAGCGCCACACTTGCCGAAGTTGTTTACAAAGTGGGGACTGGTGGGGATACTTGCCAAATATGCAAATATTGGCGTACTTGCCAAGTAGACGAGTCGTGAGAGTGCGCCTTTAAAGTGTATTTTTTTTTGTACTGAAGCTGTGGTTGGTTCCTTGTGAAACATCGTTGAAATATTAGTATTTTAATAAAGCACGCTTTTAGATGTTTCAAAAAACTTTTAATAAGAGTAACTTTAACTCAACATATATGTTTCGGCTTGTTTTTTTCAAGAGTTTTTAAGAACTAATCGTCTAACTACACTGTAACTATATATATTTTACTATGGGGGTGGGTTCAGAGAGTTTACAATAGGGGTAATAAAAAAGTTTAGAAATTGTTGGTCGTTAACATTATTTTCGTTTTTAACAGATTTTAGCTTTTCTAACTGTTCAATGTAATTTAAGCGTCTACCTTTTTGTTTCTTCTGTGTAGTACTTAATTGAGTTTTCATTAATTTTGTGATTATTTACTATACAATGAATGTTGCAAGACCAGAACTATGCTGGAGATTATTAATAGACTTTACATGTTCTTTAATCATTATATCTATCACAATCATTGCAATCCACCCTATATACACACCCGACTTATTTTTTGACATTAGTTTTGTCTTTATTATTTAATAAAATTTGACCTAAATTTTTTTTATTTACGTTAATAGTTTTACATCCTATTTTATTGAGATTATTTGAAATTTTGTTAGTTAAATTAGGAATGTAGTTTAAAAGTCGATAATTGTTATTGTCTTTAGAATTAGCGGAATAAAAATTTTTTTTCATTAATATTTTCTTTTGTTTTCTCTTTAGCATATTATCAATAAGGGAACACTTATATCCATTATTGATGGCGATTTGTTTAATAATATTTAACTCTTTATTAAAATTCTCTGGGCTCAGTGGAAACATTACTAATCTATGAATTAAACTATGAAAGGGTGACATTTCCACTGAGCCCAGAGAATTTTAAAAAAGAGTTAAATATTATGAAACAAATCGCCGTCAACAATGGATATAAGTGTTCCCTTATTGATAATATGCTAAAGAGAAAACAAAAGAAAATATTAATGAAAAAAAAATTTTATTCCGCTAATTCTAAAGACAATAACAATTATCGACTTTTAAACTACATTCCTAATTTAACTAACAAAATTTCAAATAATCTCAATAAAATAGGATGTAAAACTATTAACGTAAATAAAAGAAATTTAGGTCAAATTTTATTAAATAATAAAGACAAAACTAATGTCAAAAATAAGTCGGGTGTATATAGGGTGGATTGCAATGATTGTGATGCCGTGTACATAGGCCAAACAGGTAGAAATTTAGATATAAGGATTAAAGAACATGTAAAGTCTATTAATAATCTCCAGCATAGTTCTGGTCTTGCAACTCATTGTATAGTAAATAATCACAAAATTAATGAAAACTCAATTAAGTTACTACACAGAGAAACAAAAGGTAGACGCTTAAATTACATTGAACAGTTAGAAATACTAAAATCTGTTAAAAACGAAAATAATGTTAACGACCAACAAGGATTTCTAAACACATTTTTTATTACCCCTATTGTAAACTCTCTGAACCCACCCCCATAGTAAATATATATATAGTTACAGTGTAGTTAGACGATTAGTTCTTAAAAAACTCTTGAAAAAGGCCTAACAAGCCGAAACATATATGTTGAGTTAAAGTTACTCTTATTAAAAGTTTTTTGAAACATCTAAAAGCGTGCTTTATTAAAATACTAATATGTATTTTTTTGTTTTTAGACCTATTTACTTCATTTTTTTAGCAAACTATATAAAAATATATCATCTACTTTAAATCGTAAACTCAGTTTATTTTAACCTTTGGTATTTGACTTATTATAGAGAGTTAATCGGAGGGTCGTCGGGCGTCGTCGGAAGCAAAAAGAACAAAAAACTATTTAAAATATCTAGATACTATTCAAAAACACTTTAGTTTTTGTCAACAGATATACGTCTATAAAAACCGTTTACGTTCTGTTAAAATTAAACAGAACAACATGTAATGTAAAAAACATTTCGCAATATAAAACTAAATGGTTACTATAAAAAAAACAGTAAGTTGGACTCAAACGAGTAAGATTCAAGGTCCAGAATCTAGTTTTGTTATTTCTCCATAAGAACTAAAATAGACAGGGGTTTGTTTTTAAGATGCACAAACATCTTTGATAAAACTTATGGATTCGAAATGCACAAAAGAAGCTTACGGGTTTCTGAAACGATGTGCATAAGAGGGATGTTGTCTTTTGCAATTTTAAAAATAGGTAAAATCCTATCAGATTTTTATTTGTAGACATTTTCGCATCCATATTACGAGTAGAAAAAATATTGTGCTGGGTGGGCGTTGGTTTCTATGTAATTTGACAAATAAATAAAGCTGTCTCTCTTTAGTTGTCAGTTTTGAGTCAATATTTTTTAATTTTCTTTCGTGTCGATTGCTGATTGAATTGGAGCCAGAAATGGCTCAAAACGAAATAAGTAAATTACCAACAGATATTCAGGCCGAGGCGACCAACGCCATATCCAAACTACTTCCATTTAAATCCCGAATAACTTGTGAAAAGGAATACAAACATTTTCAAAAATGAAAGCAATTTAAAAACGTACGAGAAGAAAGATCAAGTGAAAACATTTTTTAGCATATTTTTCTGAAAAACCAGCTTTTAGCATATTTTTCTGAAAAAATCAAAGAAAATGGAGCCGTCCAGTTTATGGTCGTATTATTCAATGTTAAAAAGTACACTGCTGCTCAATGAAAACATTGATATTTCAAGGTAAGGATAAGCTATACTGTTTAAATTTCCGTAGTAGTATAGTAACATCTAAACTTTGTAGATATAACAAGCTCATAGCTTTCATGAATACGAAATGATGATTCTTTGTAATTTGAATAATTTTAATACAGGATTGCAGAATAAAGTTTTTAACCTATCCTCGCTGTTAAAGTATCATTTAATCTACCCTTGCGGTTAAAGTATTATTTTATCTACTATTTTTGATAGATACAAGGCAATTTTAACAGTTGCTATGGAAAAAAAAAGTTTCCAAGATACAAATACATAAATGTTATAAATAAGCAATAAATTATGAAAACATATAAATTAAAAATTATTAACATAATATTTCGTATAGAAAAACAAACGAGAATTATAACGTCTAAAAATAACATTGTTATTTTTCTCTCTTCATTTTCCTCATTACCTTGCAAGCTGAATATATATTATTCTAACCCAATTTTACAAATATTTTCTTCCGATAAAATGCAAAATGCTACGCTCAAAGCAACGTAACGTTATTTACATGTTTACCATAAAAACATCTTTGATCTTTTCTACCGACTCAGCCGTTATTTATACGAAATGTGTTTAAGTTTGTTAAAGAATACATTTGTGAGGTA